GGTAATTGCCAATGTATTGTGGAAATAAATATGTATAAGTTGTATTACTAGTACCAATATGATGTAAAGTCAGGATAATAAAAACATTTTAAAATTTATAACCCATTTGATTTCAAACAGTATTCTATATCAAAAATTATTATACATAATGATTTTAAAGGTTCTTAAAATAGTTCACTTTAAGGTAAATTGTGAAACAATTCAGTGTTTAAATATTAGTAGTTGTTAGACATCCATAATTAACTGAATAGTATCTAAATCCTTCTAATTTGATAGTAGTAATAGATCTGGATGTATTCAGGCTCTTAAGATACATGGAGGAATGAGAAATGCTTCAGACGACCTTCTTTGTAGTCATTCATAGTTTAAATAGTTTTTAAGGAAATTATCCATTTTTCTTCCTTTGACATTATAAAACTGATATAAATTACCATCCTCATCCACCTCATCCAAATTTATAGTATGATATGTTAAGTTATGCCTAAGTGTCAGAGAGAGAAAATATTAAATGATGTTCTTAAGATAATTAAGTTAGCTATATCTAAATATACCCAAGAAATTTATTACCTTGCATGGAAAAGGTTCATAGACTATACATTAACTATAGGTGAAGTCATTGCATATCATTATTGTCAGTTGGGGGCATGTGACCTTATTAATTTCTCTTTATGATTTTTACATCATCAGGTACTCTAGCAGGTCTCATATTTTAAAAATACTTTATTAAAGTCTCCGTGAAACATTAAGGAATGAGGAACACTAATTAATTCAGCTGGACAGGGTGGTAGTCTTTCAGGCACCTAAGACATAATTAAAAAAAAAAATCTGTAAACATGAGGCAGACTTTCTATATAATGTAGTTCAGTTATTTGTTCTTAGATTTATTTGGGAACTTAATCTGAAGCTAAGGAATCAAGTACACTAATCTTTATTTTGAATTCTCCTTTCCATTTTAAAGTTATAGATTAGTGAACAAGGAAATAGATATATAACTAAAGTCCAGTTCTTTGAAATGTTTTTATAGGGCAGTATTATCTGGTGAGTAGCTTAGTTTGATGGAACAGAAGTTCTTTTTGAGCATTTTTTCACTTACGTAATAATTACTTGTTGAGCTGACAGAAGATAATTATTGTTGTACTAAAAATATCATTGGGCTTTTTGTCATCTTACAGCAAGAGACATTTATTGGCTATTTACTATGTTTGGGCCATTGGTTAGATGTTAAGGACACACAGTTGTTTAAGATATAGATCTAGAGTTCAAAATGTAAAATAAAGTCTTTAGTTACAGATCTGCTTTTGACTTGTAATAATCAAGAAATACAGATATGCTGGAAGTTTTGATGATTTAACAATACTGTTGTACAATGTTTTATTTAAGGCAATCAAAGTTGGAATTTAGAGAACAAGGCTGAGTGTTACATAGTGTCGACCAATCAAGTTAGTAATATTGTTACGTAGTATAAAAGTTTGCAGTCTCATTTAGGGTCCATGTCATAGAGCAAACCCACTCTGTACTCAGCATTGAAAGAGAACAAGTTGTTAGAAGGAGTTAGAAATAGCCTGTGAATATTAATTGCTGTCTATTTCCTCCTATTTAAAATGCCCTTCTTTTTCTGTTGTCAGATGACTTACATGTGATGTGTACCTACAACTCATAATGATGAGTACTTATATATGAAATTTTTTAATATTGTAGTGTTCTTTTTTTTTTTTTGAATGTTGCTACTGTAGCTATCTAAGACTGAAAGTTACTGCAACTTTTTAGATTGGCACCCCCCGTTCCCAGTTTCCCACTTTCTGTGGTTTGGATGTTTGTCACCTCTAAAACTTACGTTGAAACTTGGTCCCCAGTCAGGCAGTTTGGGAGGTGGGGCCTAATGACCAGTGATGGGGTCGTGAAGGGCTGAGTCCTCATGAATGGATTAATGTTATGTTGGGAAGGGGTTAGTTATCATAAGAGTGTATTGTTATATAGTGAGTCTGGCCAATTTTGCATTGCTTACTTGCCCTTTCTTAATGGAATGATGCAACACAGAGGTCCTCACAAGATGCTGGTATCTTGACCTTGGACTTACTTCCCAGCCACCAGAACCATGAGCTAAATAAACCTCTATTCTTTATAAATTACCCAGTCTGTGGTATTCAGTTATAGCAGCAGAAAATAATCTAAAACACCACCTGACTCATTTATGCCAAATTTCTCAAGTGCTAAAGTAGATTTGGTCAATTTTATTACTTGACCAATTTACTTTTATCTTCTAGCAATGCGGGTATAGAGACACTTTTCCTTGATAAAATTACTTAGTGATCTGATGCTTTAAATGGGTACTTTTATCAAGAAAGCAATAGAATTTAAAAAAAAGTAACCAAAGTATAAAAGAAGGAGCGGTGTTATGGTTTTACAGTATCAGCCACTGATATTTCACTGTTTGTACCATGTAGTTTTGAATTGTAGCAATTTGAAAATTGTGGAGCCAGGGAGGGACCTGGCTTTTGGAATGTTTTTCTAACCCAACACCCAGGGAAGACTTCCTACTGCAGCCTTCTGTTTATATAAAGCTGAGCTGGATTATATTCTGCTCTATATTATTGATCAACCTGTTTGGGTCAGCACTAGTTCTGTCATCTTTGGACGAGGAATGTACTTTACTGTTCCTGGCCACAAATTCCTTCTTTAGGCTTTCAGACACATCTTTCAGACACATCTGGAATGTTCTAGATCTACTGTTCTGAATGCTAGCATGTTATCTCTTGTTCTTTCATTTGTTATATCACTAACTATTTCTTCACACTGACTCTCTCCTTTGGCAAGGTTATATTCTTTATCTAGTTACATGGGCTTCTTCTGTAGAACTTTTCAATATGGTATTAACTTCCTCATCCCTGATCTTCCCCCTAATTCCCAGTTTAAAGTCTTTGTTTACTTTATATATGACTTTTTACCTTGGTGAAAAATATGTTCTCAACCCATTTGTGGGCTAACTCAAGCTCTAGAAATGCTTGAAGCTGTGGGCTCAGGTTACCAATTTTACTTTCCTATCATTGATTCAAATGCTTCCTAAAGGGAGGTAGACCTTTCCCTGATTTTGCCCATTCATATTAATTTCTCATTGTCACTAAGAAACTTAGAGAATTAGAATATTTCAGAACATAGAATTGGGGGTATAATTTGACTGCTTAAATACAAACATAAAAGTGTAACAAAAGATTTCATTTCTGATTTTTCTGGCTTCTAAATAAAGAAGTAAAAATATAAGAGAAAAACAGTGTCTTGTCTAACTTCAGGCCTGAATCTGAAAAGAGAACAGGAAACGAAGTAACAAGAAAGAGACAGGACAAGGTCAAGATACCAACATCTTGTGAGGGACATATGAAATTGAAGTCCTCACTGTAGTTTAAACTTGATGAGTGTTTCAAATATAAAGTAAAGATGCTTGGGTGGTCTTTTGTTCTAACAAGACAGATAAACTTTTCTCATGTCTTTCTTTGTGTATCTACCAGAGAAAAGTAATAAAATAGAGGTCCTGGAACAGTTAGTTCATGTTAAGGGTAGGCTTTAACTGTAGCTCTGACAAAAGTAGGAAGCATGCAGAAAGCTGGATTGTTCATAAGAGATAAAATGGTGCAGTCTAATTCAGTTGGAAGCCAGCAATCAAAATTAGAGCAAAGGGAAGCACTATTAGAAAAATGTGGCAAGCCAGTGAAATATATTGATCAAAGGATGGGGGGGATTAAAGATACCAGACACAATTTATTAATTTTTAAAATTATTATTTTTTTGCATTTTTTTATTGTACTTTAAGTTCCGGCCTACATGTGCAGAATGTACAGGTTTGTCACATATATGTATATATGTGCCACATAGGTATATATGTGCCATAGTGGTTTGCTGCATCCATCACCCTGTCATTTACATTACATATTTCTCCTAATGCTATCCCTCCCCTATCTCCCCAACCCCTGCTATCACTCCCCTAGGCTCTCACCCCAACAGGCCTTGGAGTGTGATGTTCCCCTCCCTGTGTCCATGTGTTCTCATTGTTCAACTCCCATTTATGAGTGAAAACATGTGGTGTTTGTTTTCTGTTCTTGTGTCAGTTTGCTGAGAATGATGGTTTCCAGCTTTATCCATATCCCGGTAATGGACATGAACTTATCCTTTTTAATGGCTGCATAGTATTCCATGGTGTATATACGCTACATTTTCTTTATCCAGTCTATCATTGATGGGCATTTGAGTTGATTCCAACTCTTTGCTATTGTCAACAGTGCTGCAATACAGACACAATTTATTAGCAACAAAAAATTGTGAGGCTAAAGTAATTTGCTTTTGGAAATAAATAAACTAAAGGGAGGTTAATTGCCACCCTTACAATATCCTATTTCTACCTTAAACAGTTCCAGAAGAACTAACTTTTTTACTTTTTCTGTTATTAATGCAGACTTAAAATATATATATTTTTAAATCAGTATTTATTCTGCAATGCCAAGGTGACAAACTAAAATATGAAAGGGCTGTTATGGCTTGACATTTTTGTTACAGATTAAATACACATCATTGAAAAATGGAAAGGCATGACTTCATCTCTCACCAGTAGAGTTAAAGAGAAAAATGTCTCCATTTTCCATGATGCAGACTTTGAAGAATTACCTATAGTGATTTGAATTGAGTTAGGATGAGGGTAATTATAAAACACAGAGTCTTGTCTTCTGCAGTGATAACTAAGAAGCCTTAATAAAGGTCACATGAGATTACTTGCTAAACATTTAGGAGAGCTTTTTAGAGCAGTGGCCCCTGTTGGACAGGTAAGGGCTTACCCTCTCTCTTTTGGTGGAAATGTGGCATCATGGGGTCAAAGTCAAGATGTCAAAAGGCTACTGAGGCTATTTAAGTTCAAGGAAGACTTGAACATCCCAAGGAGGCAATGAAGAGAGTTATAAATATTATTGGAGACTTCCAGTACTGGGGATTCTGACCTCTTTTTACTATTTTGGCAGATACTGTACTTCTTTGACTTTAAGGTACGTATTTTTCAAATTTTAATGTCTCTGAAATGTAGTGTATTTTATAATCAATAAATTTGTTTGTAATGTAGTTTGTAATGTAAGGTACGTATTTTTCAAATTTTAATGTCTCTGAAATGTAGTGTAGTTTATAATCAATAAATAAATATCAATATATTTATCATTGTTTCCCTTTTTGGTTGTATATAAAATAATGGTACATCTTCCGATCTATGGTGTTTTAGATATGATGAGATATAGTTACTGTTTTTCTCATAATTATTTTAATAGTGATTGAATGATATTCCCATCTTTGCCATAATTGCTACTGAGTGATTTCATGTCATTCATTTTGGTCGTTTTTTTTTTTAATTGTCAAAAGACTGTTTTAAACTGATGGTGGCAGTTTTGGTAACTTGTTCATTCTCTTTCATGCCCACATTACTGACTTTACTTTCCCCCTTATCACAACTCAGAGACTGCCAGATGATTCTTCCCAAAGCATAACTCCCATGTCAGTAATTTCAAAGACCGTCAGTGTCTTCTTGTTCCTTTTTAAGGCAAGCTACCCTCTGGCTTTATTCATTTTTTCAATACTTAGATATTAGGGATATTACTATAAATAAAAACACAAAACCTGCCCTGTAGATTCTTTTGGCTACTATGAACCTTTACTTATTGATTTTTTTTTAAAGCCAATGCTATGTGATCATTCATAGTTTGAAAAAAAATGCTGTACTATTTGTCTTCATAGGCATGTGTCTGTGTTTACTTCTTATTTTATGTATTAATATTAATTTGGTGTTGATGGAAAGTCCATGAAAAGAAGTGACTCATAGTGACTTAAACATCTTTCTTTCCCCACCCCGAGATGGAGTCCATTTTCTCACCCAGGCTGGAGTGCAGTGGCATGATCTCAGCTCACTGCAACCTCTGCCTCCCAGGTTCAAGTAATTCTCCTGCCTCAGCCTCCCAAGTAGCTGGGACTACAGGTGCATGCCACCATGCCCGGCTAATTTTTGTATGTTTAGTAGAAATGGGATCTCACAATGTTGGTCAGGCTAGTCTTGAACTCCTGAACTCAAGTAATCCACCCACCTTGGCCTCCCAAAATGTTGGGATTACAGGCGTGAGCCACCATGCCCAGACCATAGTGATTTAAACATCTTTAAAAATTTTTTTTGTATGTCTTTATGGTAAGCCTATATGTCTGTAGAAACAAATATATTAGACCTTTATAGTTAGTTTATTTTGGTAGCATCTAAATCTGGTGTATTAGTTACCTGAATGCAGAAAGCATCAAGTTAAATAGGTTAAATTGATGTTTTATCCCTAGACAATTATATTCTACTTAAAATAGCTACCTATTATTAGGTATTTATTATATGTTAAGCCTTATACTGTTTATCTGCATTCACATTTAAATCACAATTTTGTATAATGTGCTAATATTATTATTGTTTTTACAAATGTTGAAACTGAGGCACAATGAAGTTAAATAACTTGGGCAGGGTCCTACTTGTAATCTCTCTGATTCTCTAGGCTCATCTTTTAACTAAACTGTACAACTAAAGTTTTAAATTTTTGCCTCAAAGATTGGAAACATTCGTTTTAATGTCATTCCTGAAATGCTAATTGACAAAATATTAAGAATATTCCTTGTTTCCCAAGTACTCATGCAGCTGCAAGTTTTATATTTTATACTTTGTACTTCGTAGGGCATTTCTAAGAAAATATCTCTGTAAATATCTTTACTCTGAAATATATTTTGGTACAGTTTATACTTTACATGGAGGCCTGTTATAAAGTCTTTTTAGTTGTTTTTGGAACTGAGAAGTTTGATACTCTTCTGTGTTGTGATGTCAGTAATTGCAGTAATAAAATTTATTTATTAAGTATAATAACTGTAGGATTTTATGATAAATGTTCTTACCATAAAAAAATTTTTTAAAAGTATGTGAGGTGATGGGTATGTTAATTAGCTTGATTTTATCATCCCACAATGTCAACATATATCCAAACATCACATTGCACCTGTGAATATACTGTGCAGTTATTCTTTGTCAATTAAAAATAAGACAAAATTTAAAAATGGAATTAAAATTGTTATACAATATTCATTATTAGGACTTACTCACATTTCACTAAGGTAAATGGCATTTCCCAGTTACCTGGAACAAGCTATTATTGAGTAAAGAGAAATAAATAACTTTCTGTCTCAGTGACATTGTAAGTGTCTGTGTTATTTAGTTTAAAACTCAGCAGTGCTTTCCTTAGAGGTTAATTGTCGATTCTACACTGTTCTGAGGGATTTGTGGAAGCAGATGGCCATTAGTAGTTCTGTAGACTAGTTACTATTCAGTAATAGTTTCAGCTAACATGAAGTATTGGATTCTTTTCAAATCATTTTTATTCCCTGTGAACATTAGAGAGAACCCTTCACAATATACGAAGAGTTTAGGTCAAATAATGGAGTTAAGAGTATAGTTCCTATGAGATTGCCCTCACTTCTGACATTGACTGCAAGCTTAGGGGTTCCCAAGATCACCCTTAGGTTCAATAATTTGTTAGAAGAACTCAAAGAACTCACTGAAAGCTGTTACACTCACATTTATGGTTTATTACAGGAAAAGAATACATATTAAAATCAGCCAAGGGAAGAAGTGCATAGGGTAGAGTCTGGGGAGTTACCAAATGCAGAGCTTCTGCTGTCTTTTACCCTCAAAATCAGTGTGTTAGTTTCCTGGCATTGATGTGTGACAATGTGGGTGCAGCATTGCCAACCAGGGAAGCTCACATGAGCTTTGATGTTCAGAGTTTTTATTGGGGCTCTGTGATATGGACCTGATTAATTGTCCATATGGCTGATTTCAGTCTTTGGTCTCCTGTCCCTCTAGGCATGACCCAAAGGCCCCACTCTAAATCATATTATTACTACATGGCTAGCTTAAGGCCCATGAACAGAGACCTTAGAGATTACATCCTAGAAGCTGAGGTCAAAGGCAAATTATCTTAGGGCTTTTTGGGGCAAGGTTAAATTCTTTACTCTACAGGAATAATGTGCATAATACTGGTTTCCAAAGCAAATGTGTAAATAAAGCTAAATTTGGGTATTAACCTAGTAGATATGACATATTGCTATTAAAATTTTCTAGTTATTAAAACTCAGAATAAGAATTCCTTGAAATTATAATTGGTTTTGAGTGTAATATTCTTCAGCCAGAGAGGCGACAAGGACAGTTTTTAACAAAATACCTTGAGATCTACTAGTTGTGTTATACCCCATATTCCTGTTACTCTTGCTAAGTGCCCAAATATAAGCCTCTCCGGTCTTTAAAAAGAAAAAAATTTCATCTTTATTTTGTTTAGGACTTCTTTTCTCCTAAACCTAAAGATTTCTTCCTTTTCTTCCCCAGTTTTTATTTGGTGCTTCTGGTGCCCAATTTTATATTACATAAATTCTCCTTAATATCTTTAACTATGAACTGTGATTACCTGCAGACAATGCTTTTAATGAAGTCTCCTTAAGTGGAGCTCATTTTTTGACTCACTGTCTACTGGAGATTTAGGGTAAAGTTTGTCATATTTCTTATTTCCTAGGGCAGCTTCTACTCCAATACTTACCTTCTTTTAACGAGAGTAGAAATTTATTAAAAAGCTTTAGAGCAGAAGGAATGTACATTTGGAAGAGATCCAAGGGGGCAACTTGAAGAATAAGTGTCCTGTTTAATCGTGATCTTAAGACTTTATAAACTGGCATCCTGTGCCCCTTTCCCATGATTCTTCCCTTAGAGTGGGCTGCCTGCATGTACAGTGCCCTTCTTACTCTTGGGAATTGAGCACACACCATGTGTTTGGGAAGTTGTACACATGCCTGTCTGAGGTTTTCTTCCCTTTTCTGGTGGAGTGCCCCAGAAAGGTCATACTCCACCATTTTGTCTCTTAATATGTGTATTAGTCCGTTTTCATATTGCTGATAAAGACAAATCTGAGACTGGGAAGAAAAAGAGGTTTAGTGGACCTACAGTTCCATGGGGCTTGGGAGGCCTCACAATCATGGCAGAAGGCAAGGAGGAGCAAGTAACCTCTTACATTGATGGCGACAGGCAAAGAGAGAGCTTTTGCAGGGAAACTCCTATTTTTAAAACCATTAGATCTTGTGAGACTTATTCACTGTCTTTAGAACAGCATGGGAAAGACCCGTTCCCATGATTCACTTATCTCTCGCAGGGTTTCTTCCACAGCACATGGAAATTATGGGAGCTATAAGATGAGATTTGGGTGGTGACACAGAGCCAAGCCATATCAATGTGCATGCCTGGGCTTAATTGCCCAATACCTGAGGTTTTATTGGAAGCCCTTTTTGCTTCTCTCTGGTGCCTGCATTTCATTAACACTTTAACAGCTATGGATCAGCAGGAGATTGTCTCTCCCAGCATGGCTGCTGAATTATCATTTCTAGAGAGACAGTGTGATAATTGTCCAGTCATCACCTGTCATTACTAATGGGTGAGGGAGAGGAGCCCTCTCCTGCCCCACTCATACCCATCTAACTACCCCTTAAGAGCCCAAACGTCTTTGGGGAAACATGGACAAAGGTCAGTCTACTGTAACTGCTTTCTGCTGATAGAGGGGTGTGTTGGTTCTGTGAGTCTTGGCCTCTTGCTAGCTGTCAGGGCAGGAGGGTGACTCCGTGGATGGTAAAAGCGGTACCTAGCCAGGTCCAAGGGAAAAAGGGGCAGGATTTTGCCTCCTTCCTGTCCTACAATCTAGGGGTCCCCTGTAGAAGGATGCCTCTTGGGTACTGAGAAAACAGTATACCTCACTGAGGATCTTTATACTTATATTCTTTCTGATAGTTACAGTTTTAAAAGTATAATTGTTCTCTCATTCTCTTCCCTGGTCACTTTTTTTCTCACTTGTTAAAGACCTTGGCACTTCCTATTTCTCTAGTGCTACCTGCCATCTTGGATAACTTCAGAGTTCACATAGACAATAAACTTTAACATTCCAGTGTT